TGGCAAGTTGTGAGCGCCAAAAGGCTTGCATGGCTCTGCCCCTGTGGTACTTCTGGTGGTTGTAGCTCCCATGACTTCTCTCTTTGGCTCACTCTGCTCCCCACTTGCAGGTTTCCTTCGATGATCCATGTTCCTGGCTTTTCCAAACTTCTGGGGTCTCCCCTGCACCTTTGGATTCTCATTCACAGCTATAAAACCAGTAGACTAATCCAGTATCAAATACCCATGACCCAGTCACCTCCCCAAAGCCCCACTTACGAGTGCATGAGGCATTAATGGACATCTCGGCTTAAAGCATAACACTAATAAATTCAAAAAATTGAAATCATGCCCTTTATCTTTACTGATTATAATGGAATAAAATGAGAGGTCAACAACAAAGAAATTTGCAACAAAATACATGTAGACTGAACAACACACTTTTGAAAAAACTGGGTCACTGAGGAAGCCAGTAGGAAAATTTAAAAAGTTCTCAAAATGAATGAAATGGGAAACACTTGTAAGATGCAGCAAAAGCAATATTAAGAAGGAATTTTATAGCAATGAGCCCCTGTAGTTTAAAAAAAATAGGTGGGGGATTAGGGGAAGAAGAGAAGGACGAGGTGGCTAAAGGGACTGAAAATGGTCAAGAAATGCTGTATGTATATGGGCATGTACTGATTCCCCAAAATGAACATCATTATTATATAAACACACACTAATAAAAAATTATGAAGTGGCGTAATGTTAAAACATAAGGAAAATTTCAAATAAGCAACAGAGAAATGCAGCCCTACAAGGTAGAAAACAAGAACCAAAGTGGAAAATAGTAAAAAGGAAAGAAATAGGGATCAGAGCAAAAATGACAAAATAGAGACTATAAAAATACAAAATATCAATGAAACAGAGTTCTCTGAAGAGACAAAATAGGGTAAGGATCAAAATGGATGATAGATATTGGGGAGTAGGAAAAAATGTTCAAATGCAAAGGAGGAAAGGGGAGGGGAGGGGTAAAAGAAGGAGAAGAGAGGGGAAAAAAGAGAATAGAAGGGAACAAAAGATAAAATAGACAAAATCTTAAACTAACCAAGGGGTAAAAAAAGACCAATAGAATTGCAGGTAGAAAAGGAGACACTGGAACCTATAGCACATAAATACAAAGGACCGGTGGTGGTAAAGGACTTCCAGGAAGATGGCAGAATGGTGAGCAGCAGAGAAACAATCTCTCTGATATTTGGAATCCAGATGCCGGAATACTGCAATGTGAGTTAGACAAGGAGGAGGGAAACGCGTCCCCAGGACCCAGCAAAGATCTGAAGTAAGAACTAGAGTCCACAGAGAGTGTGAAGAAAGAGACCATAATGTAGAAGAGGGAGATGGCAAGTGGTATTTTCACCTTGAGCCCTGGCTCGCAGTGTGTGTGTGTTTTTGGGGGGACTCAAACTTGCAGAGGTTCAGTGACTGCTGGTGACCCCAGAGGACCCAACCAAACAGCAGAATTAATTGGTGAACGTAGATAAGAAACTCCTCAACCAGATACTGGCAAACAGAATGCAAAAAAAACATCAAAAAGATCACACACATGACCAAATAGGACTTATTCCAGGAATGCAGGAATGGAACAACATAAACAAATCAATAAATGCAATACACCACATAAATAGAACAAAAATCACATTATCATCGCAATAGATGCAGAAAAAGCATTTGACAAAATCCAATATCCATTCATGATAAAAACCACAAAGAAAATACTTGGAGAAGATTTTTACCCCAATCTCATAAAAGCCATCTAATGGGGAGAAGCTGAAAGCCTTTCCTCTAAAATCAGGAACAAGGTAGGGATGTCCTTATCACCACTTCTGTTCAATGGAGTTTTCAAAACATTAACCAGAGCAATTAAACAAGACAAAGAAATAAAAGCAATACGGACAGGAAAGGAAGAAGTTAAATTATCATTATTTGCAGATGACAGGATCCGGAAGACCATAAAAACTGCACTAGAATAACAAAATTCAGTAGCATAGCAGGATACAAAGTCAGCACTGAAAATCAACAGCGCTCCTGTGCACCAATAATAAACTCCCTAAGAGAAAAATTAGAACAATACCTTTCGCATTAAGAAAAATGAAATACTTAGGAATTAACCTAAGCAATGAACTGAAAGGCCTCTACAATGAAAACCATACTGCTAGCACTCTGTAAAAGTAGATCAAAGAAGGCACTGGAAACTGGAAAGATGTCCTCTGTCCCTCAATAGGCAGAACCAATGTACTTAAAATGGCCGTATTTCCAAAGTTTTTACACAGATTTAATGCAATCCCATTCAAAATACCAGTAACATTCCTCACAGAACTAGAGAAGACAATCCTAAAATCCACAAGGAACTAGAAGAGACCTAGAATAGCAAAAGCAATTCTGGACAACAAGGGCAAGGCAATGGTTATCACAGTCTGAGACCTGAAGTTATTCTACAAAGCTATACTGTGAGTGAATGGAACAGAACAGAGGATACAGAAACAACTTCAGGCACACTCAGCTATCTTATCTTTGATAAAGCAGCCAAATCCCTTTGCTAAAAGAAAGATAGCATCTTTAACAAATGGTACTGAAAAACCTGGCTTTCCACAGGTCAAAGGCCAGTTGAACCTAGACTCTTAGCTCTCACCATGCACTAAACTAAAATCAAAATGGATCAAAGATCTAAATATTAAAACAATCTGCTGGAAGACAACATAGGTAATTCTGGAAGACACAAGTGTACGTAGCCTCTCTGAGCAAAACCCAATGGCACAAGAAATAATACCAAGAATCAACAAGTGAGATAACATCCAATTAAGAAGTTTCTGTACAGCAAAGGAAACCCGACTGAGGAGACAACCACAGAATGGGAAAAAAATATTTTGCCAGCTATTCCTTGAAGGATTAATTTTGAGAACACATGAAGAACTCAAAATAATTAGACCCCCAATTTAAAGACCCAATAAAAAATGGACATCTGAAATAGACACTTCTCAAATGAAGAAGTACAAATGGCCAATAAATACATGAAAAAAATGTTTCACATCACTGGCCATTCAACAAATGCAAATTAAAACATCACTGAGATTCCATCTCACTCCTGGAAGAACGGCTACCATCAAGAAATCAGCCAATAATAAATGCTGCAGAGGCCGAGGGGAAAAGGAACGCTTCCTCATCGTTAGTAGAAATGTAAACTGGTACAACTACTAAGGAAATCAATACGGAGATGTCCTAAAAAAAAAAAAAAAAGAAAGAAAGAAAGAAATCCCATCAAATCGAGCTATTCTCCTTCTAGGTATCTTCCCAAAAGAGTGAAAACATCATATCACAATTAGTATGCATACCCATGTTTATAAGAGCACAATTCATAATAGCTAAATCTTGAAAGCAGCCTACATGTCCATCAACAGATGAATGGATAAAAAGAATGTGATATTATTATTATTATTTTTTTGTTTGTTTTGTTTTGTTTTTTTCTCCAGTACCAGGAACCGAACTCACGACCTTGCGCTTGCCAGGCAGGCGCTTTGCCGCTAAGCTAAATCCCCACCCCTGAGAGAATGTGATATTACACAAAGTAATACTACTCTGCAATAAAGAATAAAATAGAGTCATTTGTAAGAAAATGGATGCACCTTGAGATCGTAATGTTAAGCAAAGTAAATCTGACACACAAGCTTAAATATGACATGGTTTCTGTTATATGAGAAGCCCAATAAATAAAGTACAAAAGAAAAGACAGACCAAAGGATAAAAAGACAGAAAAAGTTATTGTAATCCAGCATGGACAATGTATCTAAAAGTGTACCTTGATTTAGCATAATTGCCTTATATATATATTTTTGCCTGTTCTTCTGGATATTAATCTGTATTTATAACTCACTTGATAAGGACTTATAAAATAAATGAATCTGAATCTGGCCATAAAAAGTTTTTTAGAAAGAAGTGATGGGGGAAAGAAAAGTTTGTTATGTACATGTACCAATTCCCTACACTGAATGTAATTATTATGTACTGCCAGTGTGTACTAATAAAAATTTAAAAATTATAAAAAGGAAAACCATAAAGCTTGGCACAGCAAAGGAAACAATTAACAGAATAAAGAGGTCACCTACAGAGAGTAAATATTTGTTAACTGCTCATCTGACAGAGTGCTATCATCCAGAACATAGAGTATAAAGAACACAAACCTTAACATAAAAAACAAGTAGTCTGATTTAAAAATGGGCCAATAATCTGAACAGACACTCCTCAGAACAGATGCCCCACAAAAATGCGTAATTCATTAGCCATATGAAAATGCATCTCACCTCCCTGGTGGAGATGTGTATAAAAGAAACTCATATACTTTTGGTGGAAATGTAAATTAGTATAGCCAATATGGAAAACAGTCAGGATGTTCCTCAAAAAATAAAAATAGACCTATTATATGATCCAGATATCCCACTTCTGGGTATATATCCAAAATAAATGAAATGAGCATACCCAGGGTACCTGCACACTCATGTTTATTTCAACACTGATCACAGAGCTAATATAAGGATTCCTGCCCAGGTTCCTATTAAGAAATGAATGGGTAAAGAAAAATATCACACAGGCATACACACACATATACACAGACTGAATGACTATGAAGAAAATGTGTACATACACGGTGGAGTATTATTTAGTCATAAAGAAGAATCAATGAATTCCTGTCATTTACAGCAAAATGGATGGGACAGGAAGACAATGTGTTGCATGCAATAAGGCAGACACAGAGAGACACACATCCCACGTGTTCTTTGCCATCTGTGGAAAATGTGAATTGAATGTAGAGCACTGATTACTAGACACTGAGAAGGGACTAGGGAGAATGTATAAAAAGAGTGACTGATCAGTGTACTACATATGCATTTATGGAAACATCACTCTATTAATATGTAAAATTAATGTTAATAAAGATTATATTTAAAATTATATAGTGCCATATTAAAGTGTCAAAGACAAAGGTAAAATTAATTTTAATATACATACATTTTATTTAACCCAGTATGTCCAGATATTTCAACATACAGGCCATACAAAATTTATCATAACACATTTTACACCTTTTTCCTCCAAATTCAGTATATTTTACAGATACAGCACATCTCCATTTGGATGCTAATATTTAATGGAAATACTTGATTGGCAGAAAATCAGCCATGTAGATTTTGTAAAATTTACAGTTAAAACAGTAGCTTCACATACCAAATTGTTCCAAACATTCTTAGAAGTTTTCAGAAATCTAAACTGAACATGTTAATTTGTATGTTAATTAAATTAAAACATAGTTCCATACTTAGTTACATGGTTCCATTTCAAGTGGTCCGGACTCACATCTGGCCAGTGGGCAGCACAGCTCAGCCCCTTGGCTTCCACAGTGTGAGGGGTCACCAGGATACTCTCTCACTGAAATCAGTCAGGGAAAGGGGCGTTGGGGGCATTGTTACAAATGGGTGCTGACTAGCCAAAAAACCCATGCCCACCAGTGTAACTAAGAGAGTGATTTTATAGCTTGTAAGTTTTTGTCTAGTGGAAAAAAAATTTAACTATAGTCTATCTCCTGTATGTAAGAAAACAGAGAAGCCTGACACGGTGGCACAGACCTGTAATTCCAGCACTTGGGAAGCTGAGGCAGAAGGATCGCCACGAGGTCAACCTGGGCTACATGGTGAGCTCGTCTAGCCTGAACTACACAACAAGGCCCTATCTTGAAAAACCAACCAACCGAAAAAACAAACAAAAAAACAAAACTCATCTTGACAACAAATCGCTAATTTACCAAAGATTCTATGGTACAGACTTTCCTAAAGTCATTTGCGGGAAAACTGGTATTTGTCCAATGATAAGGATTCCACCAGAACGAAAGATTGGCCCTAATACTTAGGAATTTTCTCTAGCTCAGTGGAAATTAATAATGTTCTTGTCATGGAAATGGGGAAAATATTTCCGTACAAGTCAAAACTAATTATTTTTCCCAATCTACACTGTGCCTGAAAAATGACACATGTTGAAGTTTCTGGCTTCAGGGGAAATGGTTCCCTAATGGCTTATCCGCTGCGTTTCATTCAGTCGGGACCACCACGACTCCCATCTCTGGGTCCAAGATGCTAAATGACTTTCTAGTAGTAAGCAGTGAAGTAAGGCCACAGTGGCCTGCTCAGCAGATGTAAGTGGGGTCTGCATAGAAGAGCAAGTTCCCCTTCTTAGGAGTGCTGAGGAGCACATGAGCTCCCTGCTGCTGCCTCCGTCTCCAGGGCTCGGCTTCCACTTCTCAGGCCAGATCAAGCTGGATCTAATGTCCTTGGAAGTCTTATCTCTTCCTTTGGCTGAGGCTCCATTTTACAGTATAAATTTAGTTTAAATCCTTCTGCAACAGCTCTAATGCAGATATACATAATTTGGTATGCAGATCCATAATGCATTGTGATCTTCACGTGGTAAGATAGTTTTCTTTATTCTCTTTTTAACCCTTTTTCTCCTGGCAAAAAAAAATCTTCTGGAAGGGAAACTCACCCAAGCTTTGACATTTTGCCATATGTGGAGCAGGAAGACCGATGGATTAAAATCTTTTCTTCCTGTTTGTAGTCTCTTTGCTGACTCATAATTTTTAAAAACTTTTTTTATTTTAAAGAGAATAAAAATAAAAAACATTAAAAACAATATAGAATTTCAAAAGATAGGAAATCAACAATGGTTGTTATATTACATATTGTTATCTTCAAGTAGTTGTTCAGATTACCAGATACAGGCATGCGAAATTGATCAAAAAAATTAAGCATTAACTATTCCTTTCAATAAACCAATAGAAATTAGTAGTACAATTATCTCAGCTATCTTGTGTGTGTATATATATATATATTTTTCCTTTCCTTCTTTCTTTCTTTTCTCCTTTCCCCCATCCCAGTTGTTTTTTCTTTTTGAGCAGTTTCTCTCCCTTTTACAATATCTATTGTGCCTTTCGGATTTTATTTACTCTTTCAGGTTCTTACACTAGCAAGACAATACGATGTCTACACATGCGAGTCTGACTTATTTCACTTATGTGACTCACAAGTTTTTACAGTGCATATCATTCAAACAGATTTCTTACTTCTGTCTGACTGAAGTAACAGAAGCCCAGGCCAAGAGGAATTGAAAGAGCACACGAGATTAATTTTTGAGCAGAGACTGAAGAAACCTGCAATCTCAGGGAAGTCAATAAATCCTCACTGAAGTCTGTGGGGGATGCAGAAGTGACAAAGCCCACTGTCCTTGTCAGGAGGAAATTCACCCAGCTGACAGCCACTTCATATAATATCCCCGCCTTTCCTTGGCAGATAGGGCTGGGTTTTCTCAGCCACACAGCTTTGGGGAAACAAAAGAGCTGTACATATAAAACAAAGGAAAAACATGTTCAGAATTTATCTCTTAAGATTCCATTTCCTCTGCTGATGCTTGAGGCCAGTGAGCAGGATGAATCTGAACTGATTTTAACTGAAGACCCGAGACGTAAGAAGCAGAAGAGCACAGGCAGCCTTTTGCTTGGCAATTCCACTCTTAGTCTCAAACAGCTGAGAAGCTGGAACTGTTGAAGATATTTCAAAGTCAGAGAAGACTGGTCTGGAGCAGGAATTTGTGATTTTGGACTCCAGCTCACACAATACTGACTCAGACAGAGCTCTGGTTCTGTTTTGTTTCCTATAATAGTCCATTTTGTATCATATGAATTTGGACTCTTTTTCAACTGTAAGAACTGATTTATATGAGTACAGATTAACTCACTCACCAAATACTTAGTGAGGTGCACTGCTAAGATTTGGGGGAACCAAAGATGAACAGGATAGGCGTAATCCCTGTACTTGTGAGGAGAGCATCAGTTAACCAAGTGCCCTAATAAGTGGACTCGAGAAGTCTTCCAGACCTGAAAAACGAAGAATGTAAGTACGGAAAAATGCTCCGGGTTGAACAAGCGTATGTGGAGGTCCAGGGGTAAAAGGTTGGAAAGGTCTCAAAACGGACAGTTGCTAGTGTTAAAATGATGCAGACAACAGGAGGCAGGTTAGCAGAGAAAGAAGGAACCAGATCATAAGGGCCAAATGATTCACCGTGAGGCACCGGGCTTGGCCTGAAAAGCAGTGGAAAATCCCGGAGGGGTCAGAGAAACACTACTCTGTGAGGAATGGGGTGATTCAGACTGTATCAGACTTGGATCTGGATCTTGCACCGATCCAAGGAAGACGTGCTTGAAGCCTAGATGATGGTACGTGCACTAGACACAGATCTGAGAGCTGATGATGAAGAACATCTAAATACAACTAATGAAAAGTGCTGTGGTGAGAGATTTTAAAGTCAAGGGTGATGCTCATAGCACTGGCATGATAACTGGCTATGTTGGTTTATTCAATGGATTTTTTTTTCAACATCTAAGTCTTTGATATATGTAGTTGGAGAAAAGAACAAGAAAACTGCAATTCCAACCCTATCTCCCTGGCTGTAGAGGGGAGAGCGGGGAATTGCCACACTGCTGGGAAAAAAACCAGTGATTCTAATCATACCAACAGACTAGCACTCTTAACTACAGACTTCCATGCTTCTCCTAGGCTTTAAATTCAGTCTGGAGCGCTGGCTGATCTAACAGTAACCTCCCTGAAGAAAGAACCCACGCTGGGGCTCCCCCAATCCCAAGAATGCAAGCTGGTGTAACGGCCACTGCTAAGTAACATTTGCCTTAGGGGCTAGTAGCTGAACTACAGATGCTGCCAGAATCCATGGTCCTGTGCACACCTCACAGGGCAGAGGACAGCCCCCTCAGTGTCCTGCAGCTTTCTGACCAATAGCTGCTACAGCCACAAGCCCAAGTGCTACTGACACTTGGCCCATAGGAACTAGGGAAGGTCTCTTTCCACACCCATGGTTTGGAACAGTGACTCTGGTGACAAAAGCTGGGCCTTATCTGTGCCTGTTCAGTGAGTCTAGGGAAGGTTCTAGCCATGTGCTGTAACTCCAGGAAAGTGGCTCTCAATGTCCCCAACATGACACAGCAGGCACGTATCCAGTGGGAAATAGGGAAGGTCTCTATCCTAGCCCATGGCTTGAGACTACAGCTGTTGACGCAAAAAGCTCCATAAACACCCAACCTTCCTGTCTCTTAGGACCAGGGGAAGGAGTGATCTGTGTCTTACACCTCCAGGACCTTTGGTATCAATGCCACGTCTTAGCCCTATCAGTGTACCTCTAGCACCAGAGGTACTAAAGCCATGAGCCACCTGTGCTCACCCTGTGCGATCTAAGGAAGGGCTCCTCTGAGATCTACATCTCCAGAAGCATGGATTCCAAGGCCAACAATTCAAAAGTTCCCTGCACATGCTCCAAGACACCTGAGGAATGTTTCTTTTTTAGTACATGGACTTGGGACCACTAGAGCTGGTGCCAGACACCAGACACTTGTCCTTGTCCCTTGAACCCTGGAGAATGTGCCATCTGGGTTCCACAGCTCTCGGGAAGGAGCTACCAGTACAAGCCCCACTGCCACCTCACAGTCCCCTCAGTGTCCCCCAGCTTTGAGTCCATCACTACTAGTAACACAGAGCCCCAGTACCGCCTATGTCCATCCTATGAGACCTGCGGTGGGTCCCATTTCATTCTGTGGCTCCAGAACTATGGCTGCTAGTTCAACAACCCAGGCACCTCTTGCATGCATACTGGCAGTTCTGGGGAAGTGTCTTCATATCCTGTGGCTCAGGGATGTAGTTACTGGTGCCACAAACCTTGGTGTTGTCTTGGTTTGCCTCAAGAGACCTGTAGTTCTCCCCACATCCTGTAGCACTGCGATAATGGCAGCTGCTGCCACAAGCCCTACCACTACCAATGCTCAACTCTGTGAAGTTCCTTTGGGAACCTATGTCCACTGCAAAGCCATACAATCACCTTCATAAACTGCTGCAGTCTAGACTCTAGGCACTGCAGACATCAGTCAAAACTGAAGAAATCACAGATAATTTTTTGTGACACTGAAGATTAAACCCAGGGCTTTGCACATAGTATGTAAGCACTGTACCCCTGAGATACACCTCCAGCCCAAGACTACACATTTGAGCTCATCCATAACCAAATAGAAAGCACCTATCCAAATGAAATCCTATATTCCATCTAAATGAAAATATCTTTCCTTGCAAAAGATACTCCAAAAAATTGGTTTATGTTACACATTTTTTTTTTGGATACCAGGAATTAAACTCTAGACCTTGCACTTACCAGGCAGGCACTGTGCCACGGAGCTATATCTGCAGCTTACTCTACAAAACTGAAGAGACAATTAATATACTAGATGCATGTCAGTGTTGGTACATAAAAAACATGAAAGAAAATACAAAACTTCCAAAGGGAAGTAATATTTCTATAAAAATTGATCTCAATTTGAAGAATATATATGAAATGACTGAAAGACAATTCAAAATAATGACTGTAAGGATATTAGTGAGAAGCAAGATAGTAAAGATAGACAATAGAAGAAAATAAGAAAAATGATTCAGGATATGAATGAGAAATTCACTGAAACAACAGAAATCATCAAAAAGAACCAATCAGAAATCTTAAAATAAAACTTCAATGAAATAAAAAATACAAGGAGAGCTTTCACATAGATTAAGCAGAAAGTTTCTGAATTTGAGGTCTTTTGAATTCAGACAATAAAACAAAGGAGAGACAGACAAGAGACAGACAGAGGGAGACAGAGACAGAGATAGATACAGAGAGAAAAACAATTTAAAAATGAAGAAAGCCTACAAACCTTATGGATCATTGTTAAATGAACTAATATTCATAGTATGAGAGTTCTGGAAAGTGAAGAAAATGGGAAAGGTATTAAAAGCCTATTTCACAAAATATTGCCCCAATTTCTCAAATTTTTGAAGTGATATGGATACCTCAAATAAGCTCAAAGAATGCCAATTGGTTTCAATCAAAAAAAGACCTTCAGCAAGAACTGTATACTTAAAATGTCAAAAGCACATGATGAAGAGAATTTTATAATAAGAGAAAAGTGTAATCTGATATAAGGGGATGCTCATTAGATTTAAAAAATTTTCAACAGGCCAGAACATTACAATCCATAAGAGAATATGATATATTCAGTGCTGAAAAAAAAAAAAAAAAAAAAACAACCAAGAATATTACATCCAGCAAAACTATCCTTCAGAAATAAAGTAGAAATAATGTTTCTTCACAGATAAGCAGAAACAGGGAATTCATCATCCCTTGGCCAGCCCAACAAGAATACGGGGCGGTGGGGGCAGCGTCTTACATTAGAAACAAAAGTATAACCATCATCATGAAAACACAAAAATGTAAAGAACACCCAAAATAGATACACAAGACAGAAGAATCAAATTTTGCATGACAGAAACTGCCAAATCACAAAAATAAATTGTAAGTGGAAGTGAACAAAATATACAAAACTAGCAGAATACAATTAGTAAAATTACAGGAGGAAGTTCATAATGACCAATAAAAATTGTGAATGTAAATGAATTAAATCCACAAAAGAGACTGGCTAAATGGATTTTTTAAAAAATAAAAATAACAAGATTCAACATGTTTCCTACAAGAGATTCTCTCATGGGTAAAAATATGCCTAGAGTGACAGTGAAGTGTTAGAATAAGATTAATCGTGCAAATGAACATAAAAAGTGAGAAGTAGCTATATTCATACCACTGCTGTACCACAATGTTGTAATTATACGTAGATTTTCAAACCTAGTATAGAAATTCCTTTCACATTTTTCTCTAAAAACACGTATTTATAGCATTTTCACCAAAGAGCCATAACATCCTTTCTTTGGGATTTTGACTGAGACTTTTTCCCATCTGCTTTATGGGTAACTGCCATCTCTACAAGTCTCTCCACTCCAGATGACTTGTCTCTCCACTTTTTACACCTTTAAGTGGAGGGGCAGTCTTCCTATAACCTTGCATACTTCAAGTTAAAGTTTTCTATCACAATTCTCACACATTGTTTCTATCACAATTCTCACACATTGAATGTACAATAGCTCCTTCATAAAAAGTTATTTTACTGATTTTTAATTTCCATTTATTACTATTTGGGATCTTATTATATTGTACAGGGTGGCCTTGAACTCCTGGACTCAAGAAATCCTCCTGCCATGGTCCCCAGACAGCTGGGGCTTTGGCACGCCCCACTACGCTTGGCTTATGTTTCTGGTTTTTGACACTGGGTCACATTATACAGTTCAGGTTGGCCTCAAACTCAGTGATCCTCTTGCCTCAGTGTCCTGAGTGTCTGAATTACAGGCATGCTCCACACCACAACTAATTATGACAAACATCAGTGGGACCTCCCTCCTCTTCCAACGTGCTAACTTCCCATTTCTACAGGCAACTACTTAAAAGCACTTTTGCTCACTGGAAATGCAGTTTAATTGTAGGGTGCTTTCCTAGTACATATGAGCTCTTGATGCTTAGCACTACATAAAAGAAACCAAAATATTTATCCAATAAGCATGTCTATCTATGTACTTCTGCGTATCTAAATACAATTATAATACTGCCACTTTCCTCTCAACCTTTTATTCTGAAAATCTCCAAGCCCTCAGGAAAGTTACAGGGCTGGATACCTGTAATCCCAATACTTGTATACTGTAATCCTAATACTTGGATACTGCAATCCCAATCCCATGGTGGTGGATACCCATAATCTCAATACGTGGGAAATTGAGGCAGAAAGACACGTTTAAGACTGGCCTGGGCTACAGTGAAAATGTTTCAAAAAACCAAAAAAAGTTACAGGAAGAATAATGAATATCTGTACATCCTCACTGGACTCACATTCACTTTCCCTCCCTACTCCCCCCGCCAAGTTCACTGCAGATCACTTAACTATAACACAATAATCACACTTGGGAAATGGTTTGTCATTTCTAGATGAGAACTAGCTTTCATGTCCTAACAATAAACTTACACTCATACATACCTCCTGTGCGTTCATCCTCCCAATAAAAACATGTTGGCATTATAATTATGTACGAACTATACCAGACAGAACCTTATTTACCACCATCATATGTACTACATATGTATGATTATTTTGCTGCTCAACTTCTTAAACTCTTCTGCCAGGCATGAGGCCAGCTTTCTTCCTTTCAGTATGTTCAAACAATAGGTTCCCTATCAGTTTCATCTTGAGAATTGGTTTCCAGAGCCTCTGACTTGCTCAAGTCTAGACAAGTTGATTTCTAAGCCAGTGGCAAGGTGCTGTCTTAAGGCTTTTGAACACTGAGGAACCCTGCCTTCCTCTATTGGTTAACCTGCTATGATGAAAATTGTCTTTCTAGAGTTTAAGAAAGCATTCATTGGAGGTAAATGTGAGACCTTGTACATGTAAAAATGTCTTATTCCCCCTCACTTAGTTGGCAGTTTGTCTGGATACAGAACCCTAAATTAGGATCTTTTAAGCCACTGCTTTCATTTTCTTTCAGTGTTACTGAGCAATCCAGTGTTAATCTGATCCTTTTTCCTTTCTCAGAAATGTTCCTCCCTTCTCTTGTCACACCCTGGAAGCTTACAGGACCTTGTTTCCACGTTGCAAACTTTCACAATGATCTGCCCATTAGTGAGGGTTTGTCATCTGTTAAGCTGGGCACTTCTTTCTGCCCTTTTTCATAACTAGTATCTCTTTCTACATTGGTATTTTTATAATGGGCCTCTGTTTACTTTTTGTCTCCTTTTTTGCCATCTTTTTCACTCTGCTTCTTGGCAAAATTTCCTCATCTCTCAGTATTTTCTGTTGCTTTTCCCTTCCGCTGTATCTATTACTCTTTAAAATTCGTAAGCCCTGATTTTAACTGAACAAAGAAATTTTTTTAAAGTACTATTCTGTTGTTTTGAAGATGTTTTTCTCTGAGGTATGATAGGTTTCTTTTCTAATGTTTTCTTCTTGTCTTTTTCCAAATGGCCTTGTTTACACTTCTACTTTTATGTGTGGAGGACATTAAAGAATGACTTCAAAGGCTTTCCACCACGCTAAGCTGCTTTAGGAAAGTCCCTGTCACAGGAAGGGTGTTGTATCATTCAGTTCTGCATTAACTGATGCAAGTTTTCTGCTCCCAACTCTACAGGTACTTGGATACTCTGAACTCCCCTTGATTTTAGGGCTCACAAAATAAGTCTCCGGCCAATTCTTACATTTAACACCAGGAACTACGATCTATTTCCTGCTTTGAAATGCTAGGGAAACCTGACAGATGAAGACAAAGGGCTGTTTTGAATCATAGAAATAAGATATGAGCCTGGGAATTGAGCCTAAGTTCCAGTTGAAGCAATTTTCCTAAATTTATGAAAAATTAAATATTTATAGAATTACTTCCATCTGACCTTTCCTTCTGAAGATGGATGACTCATTCCTTCAATGACTCAAGCCACATCTTCATAAACTTTTCCCTGAAACGAAGATCAAGGGCGTGAGGTTCCTCTTCTCCTAGTGACAGATGCTGCATAGGAGCCGGAGAATAAGGCAAATGTTTTTGTAGACATTAGAATTTATATACATTGCCACTGAATAACTTTTATACACCACAATCACATAACCTTGTTACAAAAACCATGTTCCCATTCAGTGTAAAATGTTACACACAAACATTTACTCTTGTCTATGCATATAAAACTTTCCATTAACAGTTTGGGGCCCTTCTTTTCTGTTACATTTTTCCATAGTGAGGATTTGTGAAAATAATGGCAGTGGACATATTTTTCCCCCTTTAAAACTAATGTTTTAAACTGGTCCTCCTACTTCATCTGTGCACAAGCTCTGAGGCCCATAGTACCTTGGCCTACCTGTTGCTCCTTGACTTTGGAAGTCAGTGGACAGTCCATAATCCAGATGTGAAGTTTTGCTTTAAATACTACATAACAATAAAAAACACAGGTAGTAAAAACTAACAGTAGAAAAGCACTGAGGAACAGGACAAATTCCTGGGTGTTTCTTTTTTCTTTTTTTTTTTGCGGTACCAGGGATCAAACTCATGACCTTGCGCTTGCCAGGCAGGCGCTTATGCCACTGAGCTATATCCCCAACCCCTGTCCTGGGTGTTTCTGCTACAGTGAAGGAAACAAAGATTGATTTGTGGTAAGCCCAGTTAACTTGAAGAAGTGAGCTAGTTCTAGGGTTTTTTAACTGGGCTGAAAGTTGGACTAAATTTAAAAAATAAAAATTCAAATACGTGCTTTTGTGCATTTTTGCAGAGGATTTCTGTATCATTAACACCCAAGTAAGATTTCCTAATGAGGACTACCCAAGATTTTATCCAAGAAATTGATGGTCACGGTCAGAAACCTGAACGGCTGATTCCACCTGATAAGCTGTTTCTCTCCCTCCCCATGGCCCATCATGCTCAGCTCCTCCGGATCAGATGCTCCCATGCAGAGCCACACTTTCAAAGCTAGTTCTCACTGATCTGCCCAATATGGCCATGAGGCAGGTGCCAATGACCTCCAGTTAAAGATGAGCGGCCCAAGGTCACACAGTGAAGGCCCGAACTGCTGCCCGCAGTGCTCTCATTTAGCCAGACTGGGTGACACAAACAGCAAATGAGATGATGAATTTAGCTCAGCCACTCAGCATCGAGGCCAACAAAGATGAACGATTTATTTACAAGCATGTGTAGCCTACAGCACTCAATAACTAGTAATTTGGCCCATGACTGCTGTTAACTTTTAGTATTATTTTGTGACAGTTAGCAATCCTTTTCCTGAGGTGCATGGTGCTTGAACATGAACTATGCAGGCACACGATGTGGAGGGTACAGTGCTGTGCTAATTCCACCTCCTGTGCTTGCCAGTTTATATTGCCCTCTTTTTACGGCATAGTAAAAATACATTATATGAAGTTTAGTAACTTATATACATTAACTATGCAGTCCAAGTATGCTGAAAGTTTGCAATCTCATGACTTAGAATCAGCATATTGAGCATCTGCAGTGACTGTGATAAAAGCTGGGCACTCAAAGTGTAATATATACTTTCTGAAACTATGAAAACAGAAACATTCCCAGAGGCCAGTTAGTTTCCTAGCTGTAATCCAGTGCCTACCCCAAGTTTTGGAGTTTGCTGCGGACCAGCCACGGGGTTTGCTTCCTCAGCTTCAGGAGAGGCAGGCGGTTGTTTCTCAATTTGTTTGAGCTGAACTGATACCAAGTCTGATCCCTGTTCAAGTGATTCTGGCTCTGACCAGCCTTTTGTCCTAACATACGAGAAAGCTCCCCACCTGACTGCTGTGCCTACAGCCAACATCACAGCATTAACGAGCTTGGGCCGCCATAACAAAATGTTACAGGATGAGTGGCTGTACTAATTGCTAGGACAAAATATCTGACACCCCCAGTGTCAAGAGGTGGTTTATATTGACTCACGGTTTCAGAGGGTTCAGGCCACAGCTGGCTGGCTCCAAGGCAGAAATGGCATGGTGAGAGATTGTGGCAGAGAGAAGCTGATCAATCCCTGGCATCCAGGAAGTATAAAGAAAAAAAGGAACTGGGGACAAGAATATGCCCTTCCAAGTCACACCCCCAGTGATCCAACTTTCAACCAGGAATCACCTCCTAACACACATTCAGCTACGATCTCATCACTGGATTAATCCACTGATGAAGTTCGTGTCCCCATGATCTAATTCTCTTCCAAAGCTCACATCTGACCACGTGAGACTTCGGAGAGACATTTTGGAACACAACTTTATTCTCACAGTCCTGGAGGGTGTGAAATCAAGATCCAGGGGCCACAAAGTCAGCTCACATTCTTCTTGTAGCTTGCAGGCAGCTATCTCATGGCTGTGTGCCTGTGGGCAGGGAGTGGGAGTAGAGGGGATTCTCCAGTATCTGGCACCAGGCATTAATCTTATTACAAAGGACTTGCCTCACCTAACTGTAATTACCCCGGAAATATTAACACATTAGGGCTCTGGGCTTCAACAAAGAATCTGGGGCGGCTACAACTTTAAGTCTGTGATAGCTTGTTTCCCCGAGGTCTTTGTATTCCTTCTTCCCTGCACAAAAGTGGCACGAGCACATGCTGGAAGTACATGCTGTAAAAGGAGTTGTCATTTAAAAACCTAACTTACTTAGCCATTTGCTGGACAGAGAGCTTCATCCAACTCCTTTTAATAGTGGTTTCTATCTTATTTCAAGGGGACTGAATGTCTTATTTTTCCCCCAGAAGCTGCAAACTAGGCCAACACTATTTCACAGGTACACAGACTGAATGGGTTGCCTACATTTAACAGTCTGATTTCACAAGGAAATCCAGACTCCTTGCTTCTCTTCAGCATACCAGCATTTAGCAGCCCCAGACAACTCTTCCCCTAAACTCTCTGGGAGCTTGCCCCTCTGACAGGCATGTCTCCCTTCTCTTCACTGACCTCTGCTGCTTGGTACCTGGAGGCCACACTTTCAGCCCTAGTTTCCTCATACAGTCATGGAAGTTGGTCATTCAGCTGGACACCTGGAAATGGTGCTTCCGAAGGAATTCTGTACTCTCCAACTCTGTTTAAACAACTAACTCCAAAGTTGTAAGGTCTACATTTTTCCGATGATGACAAATGGCTCCATGACTATGGGAACTGTCTCTGTTTTAGTTTCTAGATGAAACTCATCAACTAAACCACCCGGCATCCTCGTTCTGGAAGCTTTTAAGACTTTTTCTGGATCTTGCTTCTTGATCCTCATCTGGTGGTATATAGGCAGCAACTCAAGGTAAAAGATGCTTTACTGTGGAGGAAAAGGACAGCCTTTCTTGACTACTGGTTATACCCATCTATCAATCTGGAGCCAAGGAATAATATAGCAAGAGACCACTGATGATATACATAAGTGTACTACTCTATCCCTACTTTGGTAAATGATAAATCTGAGGGAAATTTTTGAATTAATGATTTGCAATAGGAGTAAATTAAAATTGTAGGTTTTGCTTGTTTTCTTTTTTGCAGTGTTAGGGATTAAACCCAGGGCCTTGCATACTCAAGATGACAGCTCAACATTCTACTTGTTCTTACACATCAACCGTGGAGTCAATTTGGTTCTTGCTTTGAAAGGCAACTTGGAGGTCTGGATATTTCCCTATTCTTTAAGAAACATTTTGAGGCGGGGATGTTGCCAAGTGCTACAGTGTCTACCTAGCATGTGCAGGGCCCTGGGTTTGATCACAGCACAGGAGTGGTAGGAGGAGTATTTGTGTATATTTGTTTGTATTTTCTTGTAGTTTGTAGTTACAACAGAAGATTTATGTATTGATATCTAGTATTTGAAATATCTTCTGGCTCTTTTTCTCTCCTCTAAATAGAACTAAAGTTCCACACATAAAGGTACTAACATCCGATTCATTCATGAATATTGCATGGAAAATAAATAAGTAGTGCCTGTTTCCAGAAGCTCAGATGCGGCTGAATATAATACAGGGAGTTAGGAATGAGCAGAGATGATAATCTAGTTCTCTATATGAACAGTTGTGAATATGAGGTGAAAATATGTGTTGACTATTACTACAACACCTGCCTTAGTAATAAAGACATGTGGAGTCTTCAAAGGGACAAATTAAACTAGAACAAATATAGCTCATTAACAAAGCAGTCAATTCCCTTTATTTTTAAAATTTTATGTACACATATGAATGATCTGTATAATGTACATTCAATATAGAAAGCTTTATATATTTGATAATGTATAGAACATTTCACAATTACACTAATCTCTTACATAACAGCTTGACAACCATTTTAATATTTTTTTTTTTTTTTTGCACAAGCTCCTTTTCATTCAATTTGGTAAAGCTGGTTATACATACCAATGTGTACTGTGAACTCTCACAGGGTTAATGACTGAGGATACCAGTGACCAGGTACAGGGATGAAAACCTCATAATTAGGATGGTAAGAGGAGGACAGCCCCAAAGACCTGATGCAGAAGACTTTCTGGGGATGAGTGACTTAGTCCAATTTCTGTAGACTGTAGCTTAACTCCACAGTCACATTAATTCAAAAAACATTATAAAAACTAGGAAGAAAGTTTTGTCTTTTTGATTCACAGTTTTGTAAACAGATAAAAAGGAACAGAATGTGCTTACATACACCCAGGGAAAATATTCCTGTGTATACACTTACATTGATCCAGAGTGCTTTCTCATAACGTGATACAATTAGAATCATTGACATTTTTCCTAAATAAAAAATATAGAAAAGGAATAACACTGTCATGAAACCAGGAGAACGGCAGTAAGAGTTTGCTTCAACGTTATCAGCTGGAGGAATGTGGACCCGGCACTGGCCTTTCAGCATTTACTGTCTTTCACAAGTATTTCAAGTTTGGTAGCCAAGGTCACCTGCCTCGTGGTCTACAGGAGGCGGCAGGTTGGACATGACTGATGAGGATGTACCTGCAGTGAGATAGCCAGCGACTCCAGGTCCTGCAAGAGAGAAAGGAAAAGACATACCCGGAAATAAAAACACTGAGCTTTACAAAAAGTCTGGCCAGATGCTCCAGGAAAAGAAACTGATAACTTATGAAAATTACTGAAATGTACAAGTATACCTCAAAGACAGCTATGTGGCACCACTTTTATGATTTGCCTTTACTATGTGATAAAGTTACAAATCATTTCAAAATTTACACTGGACAATAATAACACTGGTGGAAAAATATGGAAAAAGTTTTCCTTCTCACATCTGGGAAATCCAATCTTTGAAAAAATTCTGGGCAGTATATCAAATGAAAAAAATGGGAACAAAGCAAAACAAAGAAAACACAAAAAGAACTCCACACACTCAACACATCCAAAAGTCACACACAATGAAATTTTCACACACTTCAGTCAACACGCAAGTTAAACTATTTTCATTTGGTGCAAAGAAATGATGTTCTAACAAGTTACCACCAAATGTATGTGGATTGCTATACCAAGCTCTCTGGGAAAGAAGAGGAAGGCTCTAGACATCCATCTCTCACAGGACAACACAAGAATGCTCTGGAAAAAGGCATCAATATTGTAGTTTTATATATCCTCTTTGATGCTAACAGTCTCTACTGCATGAATATGCTACACATGCCAGCATTTATCAAGATGTGTCCTATGTGCATATTAATGGGCTTAACAACCCCCTAGTTTAAGCATTGCACAGATATTTAATTACATCTCAGAAGCAATGCACAAAGTGTACGTAACAAGTAACTGCAAGAGAAACTGTAGCATAATACTGCATACTGAAGATTATAGGGAACAAGGCAAGTGACTACAGGACATTGGAACATCAAAGGGTTAGGACTAGAAAGGCAGGGGAGCAGCATGCATTTAGCAAAACAATTCTCTACCTGCTTCAGAGAGCTACACAGAAGTTAGCAAGCTGCCTGGCAGAACGCATCTAAAGCCCGCTCCTGAGGTGAAGGGGGCTGCTGCCAGTTAGAAGGGAAGGAGAGACACCTGAGGGGGGAAGAAAGAAATATAAACAGCAAGGGAAATTGTGAGGAAGTGCAAACAGCACAGCAGTCTGATGAAGGCTAAGGCATAACAGGACTAATGTAGGACAAAAGGTCACGATTTAGATTCATCTTGTTCTCACCTTATGAACACGGGTACTGTGGATGTAGAAAGGCTTAGATACTGTACATGCGGTTACATTGCCAAAGATGACTCAGCTTGCATGAGTGGTAACAAAAGCC